TGTTGAGTGTGAGGATGCACGTTGTGCCTGTGCAAGGAAACCTGGCTGAGGAGCGAAATCTAGCCAACGTTCTGTCTGCCAAGATGCGTGTCTGCAGAATGCTGTATCTGTCCAGAGGGTTCTGCAGGCTGCACTGTCTCCTAATGTGTACTCAGGCTCTGGAGTGGCAGGCAGTTGGGTCAGGAGCCCCAGAGTTCACACCTGGGGAGGTCACCTTCGCAAAGGCCAGCTCCTGCCCAGGAATGGGGCTTTGGGCACCTGCTTGTGGAGGCAGGTCTGTGAAGTAGATGGGAAGTGCCAGCCCCCGACACCTTCCCCTGGGCTCTGCAGAGCTGTTGTGTAGGGTAAGGGTCTAGGGCTACCTTGGGGGCTGAGGCTCCAGTTCCATCTCTGCCTTTTGTGCCGTGGACTTGGGGGCAGCTCAATTCTCCTTTCCTGGCCTTGATTTCCTTATCTGTGATGTGGACCAGCTGATCCTAGTATTCACTTGATCACTGACAGCCTGTTTCTTGCCTGAGCCTCTGTTTTCCTGAGGCTGATAATAATGATGGTGGAGAGAGCCAGTATTTCTTGAGGGCCTCCTATGGGCCTGGCTCTGTGAAAAGTGTGTACATGGATGATCTGACTCCCATAGCAACTCCCTGAGGGGTACACTGTTACTATCCCAGGTTTTATAACAGGAAACTGAGGCTAGAAGTTAATTAATGGCCAAGATCATTGACTTAGTTTCTTTTTTTTTTTTGGTACCGAGGATTGAACTGGGGATCTTGCACTTGCAACATAGGCGGAGGCACCACTGAACTAAATCCCCAGCCCAAGATCATTGGCTTAGAAAGCAGTAGCACTTGGATTTAAACCCTGACATTCACTTGAGCTCAACTCTTGACCCTTTTCTCCCTCAGACATGTAGATCAGGTAGTTGCACGGCCTGGTGCTCAGTTCTATACCCAAAAGTAGCAGATGGGTAGAAGGCATCATCTCAGGCATCTTCTCGTATCACCGCTGGATATTAGAACAGCAGAGGCCATTAGAGATCACCTGGTTCAGCCACCCTCCTGCTGCTTCACACATAGGAAAACTGTGGCTCAGAGGGGCAAATGATAGCCACAGCCTTACCTGGCAGAGGTGAAGTTATGCCACTAGAAAGAGCTAAGGTGGGCTTAAAATGCAGGGAGCAAAGCCCACACCCCTAATCATGCAACCAGAATCTCTAGAACTTGGGGTCCTGTAGACCTCTCCAGGATGACCAAATATTTCCCAGGAGCGAGATAAGGGGTGGGCAGAAGAAGTGTGTATGGGCAGCTGTGGCCCTCAGCAGAGGCTGACAAGGTGAATACATACATGGAAACATTGACTGGTTTGCCCCCACACATGTGTGTCTGTATGTGCAAGAGGAGAATACACATACACACATGGCCCAGCACTGAGGGGGCTTGTTGTTTGGTTGATAGTGTGGCTAGCAGGCCGGCAGAGGGGTGTGTGGCCTCAGTTTTCTGGTGGGTTGGTATATCAGGCAGTTTGTGTGGCAGCTGCTCTGCCTTCCCCTCACATGTGACCTGGGGCACCTCACAGCACCACTCTGAGCCTCTATTTCCTCATTCATAAGTGGGATTGTAATACACACTTCTTGAGGTTCCAAGGGACCAGCATGGTTCCAGGGTGTGATAAGTAATAAAGGATAGCTGCTATTGGTGTGATTTGTTGGAGGGTTCTTTGGTGTGAGATTAGCAATGTGGGCCTTGCTTCCTGGATTCCAAGCCCGGCTTTGTTGTCTTCTAGTGGTATAACCTTGACCAAGTCACTTCTTGGAGCCTCAGATCCCTCATCTGAAAAGGCATCATAGGCCCTACTCTGCAGGTTGTCCTGAGGATTACATGAAATGATGTATATAAAGCTCTTAATCTAGTGCTGCTGTGTAGTAGGTGCTCAATAAACCATTACCTCTAATAATGGCTAACATTTATTGAGCATTTGTATGATGCCAGGCATAATTTATTAGTGGCCAAAACACTGTTTTGTGATAGCAGGGCTTGAATCCAGGGAGTGTTGAGCTACATTCTCAGCCCTTTTTCTTTTTTTTTAATGTTGAGATAGGGTCTTACTAAGTTGCCCGGGCTAGCCTTAAACTTGCAATCCTGCCTTAGCCTCCCACACTGCAGATTCTAGGCATGTGCTACCACTCTCAGCAATTTTTATTATTATTATTGTTTCGTGGTCCTGGGAATCAAACCAAGGGTTTTGTGCATGCTAGGCAAGTACTGTACCACTGAGCTACACTCTCAACCTTAATAATCTATCTGTATTAGCAAACAAACTTCTGTATCACACCCTAAAAAATTAATTGATCATTCATACCCACTGCTTCATATTCCCACAGAGAAATAGAGGCCTAGAGAGCTAGGTGTGGTGGTGCACACCTATAATCTGAGCACTCAAGAGGGTGAGGCAGGAGGACCACTGCAAGTTCAAGGCCAACCTGAGCTACATAGCCCTGTCTCAAAAAACAAAAGCGAGAGAGAGAGCCTGAGATACTTAGAGCAGGGTAGTGACTTGCCCAAGGTCACCCAGCCAGCTTCTCAGTACCCTGTATGGTTTGGTCCAGCTCAGCCTGCTGCAGAGCTACTGTTCCGTGACAGTCTCCCACAGGGACACCTTCCTCCACCCTCCTTTCCCCATTACTCTCCAGAGCCAGTAGCTCCTTGGAGCTTCAAGCTTGGTGAATGGCTTGGTTAAGCACTCGGCCATTAAACGTTCATCTCTTACAATTTCAACCCAATTCCTATAAGTTTATTGGCAAGACGGGGTGTATTAGAGCTGCCAAATTTAATATATCAAGTCCGCATATCTGAGATGCAGTTTCTCAGCAGTAATGGGAGAAGAGAGGTTTTATACATTTTCATTTGGAATGACTGGCTGTTCCTGATCCCATTACAGATCCTGACTTAATGGGTGCCATCCCTGTCTGCCGCAGGAGTGACTTTCTCCATCAACCTGCTTGGCTTCCTAGATTATCCAAGATGCTTGTTTGTCTCTGCATTTCCTCCCAGTCTTTCCCTCCCAAGATGCATTCCCCCATCTGTCTGTTCTGTAAATCAGGTCCCAGCCTCATCTTTATTTGTCAGTTCCTGGGAGTCTATGCCTGTTAGCCTGGGCAACTACCTTCTGACTTAGGGAAGGCATTCCCTGTCCTCCTCTGGGCCTTAAGGGCCTTCTCTGTGAAGTAGAGACCAGACCACAGGATAAAGGGCTAGGCTAGCCTCAGCCTTTGCATGTCCCTGAGTAGACTGGTTCCTTCTCTGATCATGTGACCAAACTGGAGGACCCAGGGCCTGGCTGTAAGAGATATAGAACAACTGCCCACCTTGGGCAGCAGACCTGAGACAGGAGCGTGGCTGTGATCACCATGGCTGAGGGGTCTAAGACTGTAATATTCTCATTCCCTCCAAGGCTGGCTGGGGACTTGTCACCCAAGAATTCAGTAATCCGTGTGGGAAGCTATTAGCACCTGCTGCCTGAGCCCTCAACTTTCCTAAGCATTAAGCTGGCTGTGGAAGAGAAGACACCTGGCAGTGTGATTTTTTTAAGGAACCTGTGTTTATGTTCTGCTTGCCAGCTGTGTGACTTTAGGCAAATCACTTTCTTTCTCTGAACCCCAATGTCCCAAGAGAAAATGGGAATTAATTCATTTATTCCACAAAGCTTGATTGCCTACACTGTATCAAGTGCCATTTTAAGTGCTGGGCTTCCAGCCATGAGCAAAGCAAAAGTACACCTGCCTTCATGGATTTATATTTTTGCTAGGAGAGAAAGGCAATACACATAACAAGTAATTTATTACTTAAGAGATAAGTGCTATGAGGAGAAATAAATCAAGGAATGGAAAAAGCTAAGGGGAGAGCTCTGTGATTTTAAATACAGAAAAATGGTCATGGTAGATTACTGAGAAAGTAGCATTTGAGCAAAGACTGAAAGACTGAGTGTATGTGTGGCAGGTGCCTGGAAGAGAGCTTCCAGGTCTAGGGGACAGGAGGTGGCCATGTGCTTGACATATGTGAGGAGCAGAGTGGAGGCTGATGTGGCCAGCATGGAGAAAGCCAGGAATAAGGAGGTCAGAGGTCAAGATTGTTTTAGGGGAAGAGGGATGCTGGCCAGACGTATAAAGTGGTAATCCTCCAGCCTGGATACATGTTAGAGTTACCTGGCAGCTTTAAAAAATATATCAAAGGCTGTGCTTCACCTACTCAGGTTCTATTTTGTTTTATTTGTTTGTTTTTGCTGTACTGGGGATTGAATCCAGGTCCTTCACCCTGAGCAACACCAGCAGCCCTTTCATTGTTATTTGAGACTAAATGCACTAAGGCTAGGCTTGAACTTGTGATTCTCTTGCCTCAACCTCCTAGAGTGCTGAGGTTACTGGTGTGTGCTACCAATCCCCAGCTTGAGGGTCTGTTTTCTGTTTTTTTGAGACAGGATCTTGCTATGTAATACAGGCTGGCCTTGAACTCACTATGTAGCCCAGGCTGGCTTTGAACTTGCAGTGAGACTCCTGCCTCAGTTTCCCAAGTGCTGTGATTACACATGTGTGGTATAACGCCCAGCATTTGAGATTCTGTTTTAAATAGCCAGGATTGGAGGCTAGACATCACAAGTGTTAAAAGATCCCTCTGGAAAGCCAGGCATGGTGGTACACGGCTAGAATTTCCAGCCAAGCAGGAGGCTGAGGCAGGAGTATTGCCAAGTTTGAGCCCAGCTTGGTGATTTAGCCAAGACCCTGTCTGAAAAAATAAAAAAGGGGTTGGGGATATAGGTCACGGCTCCCTGGGTTCAATCCTCAGTTAAAAAAAGAAAAGTCTCTTTGGAATGAGCCCTGTCAAGCCAAAATCATCAGCTCTAGAAGTTTCTCAATGGCTGGGGCACCTGTAAATAAATCCTTGGCCCTGGAATGGCCCTCAGGGGCCCTGTTTCTCTGATGGTCTGACTGAGTGCTTATGGTTCCCCAGGCAGCGGCAGCACCTGGTGCAGGTGGGGATGGGGAAGCGATACTTCTGTGACTACTGCGACCGCTCCTTCCAGGATAACCTCCACAACCGAAAGAAGCACTTGAATGGGCTACAGCACCTCAAGGCCAAGAAGATGTGGTATGACATGTTCAGAGGTGAGTCCTCAGTAGCCAGACTCCTGGAGCCTATTCTCTGATCCTTCTAATCATTAGACAAGGACCATCACGGTTAGCAACAGTCTGGGCCAGGGCTGTTTGAAGATCAGGAGAGGAAGGAGCCGGGTGCAGTGGCACAGGCCTATGATCCTAGCACTTGGGAGGCTGAGGCAGAAGGGTTGCAAGTTCGAGGCCAGCCAGGGCTACATAGTGAGCTTGAGGCCACCCTGGGCTATATAAATAAGATTCTGTCTTGAGAAGGAGAAGGAGAAGGTTGGAGGGAGGGAGAAGAGAAGGAAGAGAGGAAAAATAGAGGCAGCGGTCGAGTCTCTAGCTTCAGGGTAGAAGAGCCCTCAGAGGGGGCAGATCAGAATTGGAGGTTCTTTCCCCAGTGATCTCAACCAAGGGCTTTCTGCTGCATACATATACTGTGGGCCACCCTGGGGATACTGTGGGTCCCTCTGAGGAGGTAATACTTCAGCCCCCAGCTGAAATATGGGTCCCCAGTCGATAGCCACTGTTCCGGGTGAGGGTATGCAGAAAAGCGGCATCCATAAGCAGAGCCGGGGGTGGGGGGAGCTGGTGAGGGAGAAGGGCAGGAGCCACAGCATTGAATAGATCCTTCAGGCCTATGGAGGCCATAGCAAGGGGCTGCACTGTCCCAAGGGCAAAGGGCAGCAAGCAGCCTTGGAAGGGCTTTAGGCAGAGGTCATTATGGCTTATTCTCTACTCACTAGTAAGGACTCTGCTGCTGGATGAACAATAGAAGTAGCTGCTGAATGACTGGCTAGAGGGAGGGATGAATAGCCCAGCTGTGGAGGAAGGAAGGGAGAGAGGGAGGGCTCTTAAGGAAAGGCTTCTCAGAGCAGGTGCAACTAGGGCATTGAGCTGAGGTCTGAAGCATTCAGCACAGGGCCTGGCCCCCTGGGGGGCGGGGTTGCATATACAGGGGAGCTGTGCTGCTGCACAGCTGTCCTTAGACACACACTGAGGAATGGCCAGGGAGGGGCCAGAGCATGGCCAGGCAGGAGCCAGGCAGAAAGGTGAGAGAGCTTGGCGGTGTGGCAAGGGTGGACTTGAGGCTCCTAGAATGAGTGAGGGCAGAGCAATGCTGCACAGGTTGGGAGCAGGATGCCAGGACATGGCCCAGAGTCTCAAAGGAAAGAACTGAGTCCCAGCAGCCAAAAAGAGAGGAGAAGGAAGGCAGAGGGTGTTCTCTGTTCTCTGGTCTGAGGCTCAGAATGCTTACAAGAGAGATAGCATTTAAAGAGTACCTGTTGGAAAATCAATCAATCAGTCAATAAATAGTACCTGTCAGGTCGGGGGAGGGGGGGATTTAGCTCCGTGGTGCTGCCGCCTGTCTCGCAAGCGCAAGGGCCCGAGTTCAATCCCTGGTACCAAAAAAAAATATCCTAAGGAGTACCTGTCACATGCCAAATGCTTGCCATGGTTTCTCATTTGCTTCTCTCATTGACACTTTTTTTTTTTTTTGGTACCGGGGATGGAACTCGGGACCTTGCGCTTGCGAGGCAGGCACCAGAACCACTGAGCTAAATCTCTGACCCCTTTCATTGACTTTTGAACACAGTAGTTCTCAACCCCGGCTGCAGGTTAGGATCACCTGGAGACCTTTAACTGAAAAACTAGCCAGGTGCAGTCGTACACACTTGTAGTCAGATACTTGGGAGGTTGAGGCACAGGATTACTTGAGCCCAGGAGTTCTAGACTAGTCTGGGAAACCCAGCAAGACCTTGTCCCAAAAAGGAAATAAAAATACTGACTCCCTGGGTGGGGATTTAGCTCAGTGGTTTCGCCACCTGCTGTGCAAGTGCAGGGACCTGAGTTCAACCCCTGGTAACCCCCCAAAAAATAGTGACTCCCTGACCCTATCCTCAGAGATGGGTTGGGGTAGATGGGCACTAGGTATAGTATTTTTAAAGCTCTCCCAAATATTCCCCATTTCAGATGAGGAAACTGAGGCTCAGGCTTGAAGATTGTTTAGCAGGTCAGGCATGTCTGTGGTTGGGTGGGACTGGGAATTGGGGCAGATGGGGAAATCAGGAGCAGTGGGGGCTTCTAGGTTCCTGGGAGGCCTCTAACACTGGCATCAGCACAGGCTGTCTGTCTCCCCAAATCCAGTGGGGGCTGTGGTCTGGCATCAGCCAGGCAAAGTGCACTTTGGTCTTTGCTCCTAGTCCTAGCCTCTCAGCCAAGAACATCTTGGTCCTGGGGTCCAGAGCTCACGGACAGGGTCCTTGGGTTTCTTATAGAAAAGATGAAAGGGCAGGTGCCATAAGCCCTTCCTCAGGCCTCCTATATCCTTAGTGTCCTCTCACATCCCCACCCACATTTAATCCTTGGAACAGCTCTAAAGAGTGCTAGTGCCCCAGGGGTCCCACTTACAGGCAATGACTTTAAAATCCAGACCAGTGGAGTTCCACCTTCTTGGCTGAGTATGGAGAATGCAAGAGGCAAGGAGCAGGGAGCCAGCCCCGGGAGGTCCGGAGAAGAACACAGAGTGTACAGGCAGCCTGGCACATCATCTGCAAAGGGGATAAAAAGGAGAAAACGTGTGGAAAATGACAAAGAGAAAAAAGCACAAGATGGTGAGGCACGAGCACCTCATAAAAAGATTCAAATTCCTCCTCTCCCTCAGGAGCTGCCGCCTGTCACCCTGATCCACCGGGACATCCTGTGGGCCTGGTGCCAGCAGCTCAAGATCAGCACCAAAGGCCAGAAATTAGAAGCGTATAAGCGACTCTGTGAATCCACTTACCCGCAACAAAAGCCCCATTTGCAGAACATTCCTATTACATCCAAGGAGGCCAGGGTCAAGTCAACAGGTAAAAAGAGGCAGAGGTCCCTGGAAGGTCCAAAGGGAAGAATGTCTGCAGTGGGGACGGACCTTCCTGAGGAGGCCCCGATCCCTGCAGGGCAGCTGGCCACCCTGCAAGAGCCACCTGCTCTGCAAGAAGAGGTCAGCATGAGCATGATGACCACGGCTGCTCCAGAGTCAGTGCTGGCCTCCTGGGGCTGAATTGCAGCTGGGGCCGGCAGGAGGGAGACAGTGCAGCCCCCGGCAGAGGCCTACGGTGACAAGTGGTGTGTGGTGCACGGGTGCAGTCTCCCCGCAGACATGGGGGGCTGGGTCCAGCTGCAGTTCCACGTGGGACAGGCCTGGTGCCCAAAAAGAAGGGGCGCATGAATGCGCTGTTCCTGCTGCCCTCTGGCACCTTCCCACCACCCCACCTGGAGGACAACCTGCCGTGCCCCACCTGTGTCCGCAGGAACAAGGTCTTAGTTAAGAGCCTTCAGTGGGATTAGAAAGATAGGACAAAGGGAACCTCTCTGGTGTTTTGGCTTCTTAAATCACCTGTGCTCCTGGAGTGGTGAGTCTACAAAACTGCAGTGGGACCAAGACCAGTGGACACCCAAAGCCTTGTGCCCTCGCAGATGCCCAGCTCACCGAGAAGCTGTTGGACCTCTCCCAGCAATTATGCGGCTACAGGCGGCACCCAAGGAACCACCAACGCCCTTCACAGGGGCATCTTTAAGCTCATGGGGCAGCCCCTGCCTGAGGGGCAGACTGACTGGGTGCTGGGACATCCGTGGGTCTCCAGCCTGAGTCGCCGCTCCGTCGCTCCGTCACCGACACAGGAGGCTTGCAGCTGCAGCAGCTGTCCCAGCCCACCCTGCAGCCCATTGAAAGACTTGGTCTCTACCCCCGAGCATTCTCGAATTGTCTCTTAGCATGTAGATTTGCATTTTCTTTCTGTAATTACAAAATAATGTACTGAATCTAGTGTCTGGATTTTGCTTTGTTTTTTGACACAGGATCTTGCTTTGTAGTCCAGACTAGTCTTGAACTCACTATTCAGCCCAGGCTGTCCTTGAACAATTTGGCAATCCCTCTGCCTCCGCCTCCCAAGTTCGGGGATCATGGGCTACCCCAGGATGCCTACCTGGTGCCTGGGTTTTTATGTTCTTTCTGTTTTGTTTTATGGGATTATGTATGCATCCCCGTGAGCCCAGGAAGAAGGTCTCCTGCCCTCTTGGGGTCCTGCATCTCGGAGAGGAGGCTGTGTTCTGGGAGACTGTTAGTTTCCTGTCCAGTCTCCCCCCTCGGGTGCATTCTGGTGATGTGACTCCATGCTCTTCCTCCACCTCCCACTGCTTGCCTCCCTATCCCTGGAGACCCAGGCAGCATTGGAGAAACCCGCCTGCCTCATGAATTCAGTGTCAGGGAGACTGCTGTAATTATCTTGCTGTTTAGAGGGAGCAAACAGGGACTCGGGAGGCTGAAGCAGGAGGATCACCATGAGTGCAAGGCTACCCTGGGCTACATAGTGAGATCAAGGCCAGCCTGGAGTACACAGTAAGCCCCTGTCTCAAAAAAACAAAGAGGGGGGAGAGCAACAGGAAATTGGCTCTCCACCTTCCCATCTGGATGGGCAGAGATCTCTGCCCACAAGCAGTGGTGTGGGGCCGGGGATAGAGTCTGGAGCCCACCCTGCAGGGCCCCAGGGAGCTGGGTGCAGAAGGCCTGGGCAGAAGCAGACAGGCAGGTGGTGTGGGCCAGGGACTGCCCAGCGCGTAGAGGGGTTGCAGGGGGATGTGAGGGACAGCCTTTAAGACTCCAGTTTACTGAAATGAAGCTGATGTCCCTAAAAATACTCCAGTAAATTTTTACCCTTTCAAGATGGGGCTTGTAGTTGAGAATTACACTTTGGAGGGAGAAAGTAAGGAAGGGACAAGAAAAAAAGTGGAAATAGAAAAAATGATAACAAAGCCTTTGTACATAGGGAGGGCAAAGGGCTTGGGGGGGGGGATAAAATAAAATGTATTTAAAAATTAAAAAAAAAATCCAGACCAGTGAACCCAGAGTCCCCAGATACTGGTGGCCAAGCTGGCATACGAGCTCTTTTCACTTCTTCAAGAGGCTTTCCAGGACCCCAGTTACCCTGAGGAACTGCACAGGCTCTGGGAGGTACCGTGTGCCCCAGCCTGGGTGGGTACTTCTCTCCACACCTGCTCTGCTCCCAGCTTCATACCTTGGACAGATCCCTGAGCCCTCAGCAGGTGGTCAGGATAAGCATGGACCCTGGAACCTGAATGTCTGGGTGTCATTCACTAGTGGTGTGGTGCTGGTTTTGTCACATGTAAAACAGCTGTAAAAAGTACCCATCTCTCAGGGTTGTGACAAGGATTTGATACTCCCGTAATGACTGGCACATGAGGGGTCACTAAGTAGGAACGATGTGGATATGTCTTCAAAAGGATTGGCCTCAGGCCCTTTATCTCACGGGCTCATTTATTCAGCTAGTTCCCCGTAAATACTTAGCCTGTCCTTAGCTCTCAGATGGGATCTGAAAATTCAAAGATGGATAAGACAGGGCCCTACTCCTAAGTGACCCCATATCCAGTTACGAGATTGTGCTCTGGGCAAGCCCCTGTCCTGTCTATGTTTCTGTGTTCTGGCTTCTTCCTCCTGACCCTGGTCACACTGTCACCGCATGTACTATCTTCTCTCCAGGCATGCTCTTCCTGTTCTCTTCCCCACCCCAAATCAGTAAGCCCCATCTCAGAACTCAACTCAAGCAGCAAAGCCATGGGTCGTCCTCTCTGTCCCCTGGCCAGGTCAGGTATTTGGCTACATGGTCAATGTTACTGCATTTATATCCATGTGGATTAGTGTGGCAGTTGGACTGGAAGGAAGAACCAACTCTGACTTGTTCTCTCCTTAAATCCTCATCCTGGCAAGGACGTGCTCAGTGAACATTTGGAAGATGAATGTCTAGATGGCTGAGCAAACACGGGGTACCAGGGCCACTGTTAATTGTGGGAGATGAAGCAAGAACCGATAGGTCAGATCACAAGGAGCCTTGAACACCAAGCAGAGGAGCAGGGGCCTCTTAGAGCAGGGCCTGGGCTGAGGCTTCTCAATCCTCATGTGCATGTCAGTGCATGTCAGAGACACTGATGAACTTTTAACAATTCTCATGCTGTCCCACTCCAACACGTTAAAGCAGAATCTGAGAGGGGTGGATTCAGGGATCCATGTACTTTTTTGTTGTTTATTTTTCATTCGTACATGTTTGCACTACATAATAATTACATTTATCATGAGGCATTGGTACATGGACCTATTAATTTCATTCCCTACTCCTCCTGTCTCTCTACTCCTTCCATCTCTTGGTCCTCTTCCCATTTACAAAAGCTCTATTTGCATTTTTTCTTTCATTTTTTCCTCTCCCTTCCTTCCTTCTTTCCTTCTTTCCTTTTTTTTTTTTTTTTTGTACCCGGGATCAAACTCAGGACCTTGT